TGATAGTGCTGACGTCATTTCCATGATGTCATTTCCCTAATTTTCTATTTGGCTCTAGGTAAAAACCTAGCTGGGCCTATTTTATGGAGAGACCAAACATAAGGGGAGGAAGGGAGAGTGGGTGTCACATACAGCCACAGCAGAACCAGCCGAGAATCAGCCCTGGTGGGGGGCATGGAGCCAGGGCACAGCTGAGGCTGCCTCCGGCTGCAGCCATCTCTAGTTCTCTGGGAGAGGATTCATCTTGCAAATGTGTGCTGAGAACTGAAGGCTGGCTTTGTATGGGTGCTTTTTTGCCCTTTTTTTTCTTTTAGTACTCAGTCCCCTAGGAGACAAACTCTCATTCTAAATCAGCTTTTCACCCTTTTTCCACCCTTGATAACAGCTAGTATATAAAAGCAAAGGGAGGAACAACCTGAACATCATGAGGATTTGAGACTAAAATCATTGATAAAAAGCTGCTCTGAAGGTTTTTTTCTTTCTTTCCTTTATTTTTTTTTCCTCTCTCTGTCTTCAAATGGCAAACTACAAAACTAAGATCAGGCTGTATGGATAGAGAGATAACTCATTAGGTACTGAAACACATCCAAAGATTGCAGAAGAATTAAGTTGGAGACAATAATGCCAAGCTATCAAAGAGGAGAATAAGAAGTAATCCTGATGTTAATATCAGACAGGGAGGGAGACAGAGACAGAAAGAAAAAGAGCTAAGCAGGCAATTATTGCTTAAAAATTCTAAACTCAGGGCCCACTAAAATGTTAGCCTAAATATTAAGGGGGAAGTATATATGCACTTGGTGGCTAATGGAAACTTAAGGGGAAATAACCTGACTGTGAATTCTGTTAGATGGCAAAATAGTCTATTAGGCTCAGAAGGGGACTTCTTGGGGATAGGACAGCATCACCCTGTGGGGGTCATTTTCAATGATGTAGGAAAGTGCACTGCAGAATGGGCCACAATAGAAGCTTCGAGCCCCTTCATTGGGCAAGCAAAGGCTCGATCAAATTCCACTCCCTTCAGGAAGGATGTCTTGTCCCTTGGAACCCATAATCTGAGATTTAGAGTCAAACTCTCTGACCCAACATAATGCCTAGGACCAGTAACGACAGGTCTGATGTCAAGCAGCTCATGTCCTTGACATCCAGAGGATCTTATGTCCTCTGAACATGAGCCTGTGACCTGTATGTTTCTAAAAAAAAGATAAAGGAAACTCAGGAAGCAGGCCTGCACAGAGCCTGAAGCCACACCATGTCTGGTGTAGGTACATAGGCCAGCCACCTGCACCCTTTGGGGAAACTGACTCAAGTCTCCTGCAGTCGTTCTTCTACAGTAACATGCATTTGTGGCAATAATTAGAAAGTGAAGCTAAATGAAACAAAACAGCAAAATAAAATTACTCTGAATCTCACCCAGTCACATTGGTATATATCCTTCACTTATATGTACATGTGTATTTTTTTTTACAAAATCGAGTTATAATGCTTTACAACCTATAATAAGTATCAAAGCAATAAAGACAAATTTATGTCTTAATCATTATCTCATTGCATAGGCATATTTAATTAATTATTTTTGTTATCTGTATATGTCTTTGTCTACATTTCTTGAAAAAAAATTAATATCTCTTTGGTGGACAACTTCACAGTCATCTTTAATTATGCCATAAGATTAAGTCATAAAAATGGAACTGCTGTGTCAAAGGGTATATATAATATTTCAAATTGTTTTCATTCTTGTTATCAAAATGATTTTTAGACAGGCAATAACTCCCGCCAACAGTATATATGAGAGTGCTCTTTTGGTGGTTGTTCTTGTCACCAGGAAATGCTCTCATGACTTTGTTTCTGAGAATGCATGAATGACATCTGCCACCTCAGGCCAATAATACCGAGAAGGAAAGAGAGAAGTAGGCCTCTTTAAATAGGCAGCTTGAGCTATTTCCCCAAAGAGAAGGAACTAAGCAAGAGCCTGCAAACTGTCTTAGAAGGAATAGGCTATCTGCTTGAAACAGCCAAGACCTTTAGCTCAAATCCATTAATCCTCTTTATTAAACCTGGGTCACCTCTGAGTCCTGGCAAATTAAGCAGCATCTCCCCACTGCAAGTACATCAAAAGGCAGCACACTGTACACTGCCTGTAATTTTCATGGACCGGGGCTCCGGGGTCAGAGGGCTTCCCAGGCGCCATCCCCTGCTTTTGTCAATTTAAAAGGGAACATCAGCTGCACTTGTATAAATTACAGGCCAAGCCATGCAGGGGCCTGGGGGCAAGGCAGCATCTCTGCACCTTGGGAGAGGTGAAGAGAGGATGCAGGGCAGATGGCACGCAGCAGTGGTAGCTCCAGGGCTCTCCTTCACCCCAAACACCTCTGAGTGGGTATGGGAGCTCAGAAAAGGTCTGGTTCAAAATCAAGGGTGGGCCTGGGTCTCTCCTCAGGTCACCCTTCTCAGCTCATATGCACTCTTTCTTACCTTCTCCCAAAGCCTGCAAGGAAGAGCAGAAATTCTTCCTTTGTTGTATCAAGACAAGAAGTAGAGACAAAGTTGGAGCCCAGTGTGAAAGAGCCTGAGATAGAGCAAGACAGAAAAGGAGACAGAGGGACTGATGCAGTGAAAAGCATACAGAAAGACCAAGAAGAATCAGAGGAAGAGAGAACACAAAACCAGAGCAATATCAGGAAGCCTGGAACAAAACCACACAGCAACCTTCTTTGCACCATCTGAGCCACCCTGAAGTCAAAGCCATTTTATTTTGAAAATGCAACAGATACTTTTCGCCATCCCTTTACACAAATCTGGCTAATGCTTGAGAGCCATTCAAAGAACAGGTTAAATGAAGTCTGAAAGATCGGTATAGAATTGTGGACCCAAGCCTTATCGGAATGAGTCTCAGGGAGCATCTGGCTTTATGTTCCACTCACTAACAAAGATATGAACTCTGGGGAAGGCCCAAAGGAAAAATGCAAAACGGATGTGAATGTTAGGAATTAATTCTCCAAAACACAGCAGAACAGAGAAGAGGCTACGTGGCCATTTGAAGTATAATAATAACTATTTTGGATGACATTATGGACCCTGACTGGATAGAATGATATACCACTAACCAAGGATCAAACATATTCAGGGGAAAAAAAAGATTCTAGAAAGTTCTAAAAGCAAAACTTGAGTTTGCCACACTCCAAGCACTTCACTGAATCCTACAAATAAAGTGATGTGTGGGCACACTTTGCTGTTGCCTCTTGTCATTCCTCAAATCTCAGCCTCTTCAGCATTTGGAGAATCGTTCACCTTCCATCTCCTTCCTGTGCTATGTGGTTATGCCTGCAATAGTTGTGGCCAAACAGCACACACACGGCCTTTCATTTCTTGTCATTATTCTCCAAATAATACACTAAAATAAGTATTTACATAGCATTTAAACATTATTATAAGGATAGAAATCATTTTAAGTATACAGGAGGATGTGCACATGTTCAATGAAAATACTACATTAAATTATTTTTACATTTTTATTGGTGCATTATAATTGTATGTATTAGTGGAATTCATTGTGACATACTCCTACATACACATAATTTGATCAGTCTCATTCCCTGTTACCTCCCCTTTCTTTTTCCTTTCCTTCTCCCTTCCTCTGATCACGAATTCCTTTACTCTACTGGTCTCCCTTTTATTATCCTATATTTTCATTTTAATTTTTTTATTTGTTGTAAATGACAATAGAATGCATGTATGCACTTTGATATATCACACATAAATTCGATATAATTTCTCATTTTTCTGAGTGTACAAGTTGTAAAATCACATTGGTCATGCTGTCACATATATACATAAAATAATAATGTCTATTTCGTTCTACTATCTTTCTATCCTCACATCATAAGGTAATGCTATTGTTCTTTAGTGCCCCACCCCGCCTTATTGTGAATTAGCATCTGCATAATGGAGAAAACATATAGCCATTGGTTTTTTGGGATTGGCTTATTTCACTTAGCACGACATTCTCCAACTCTATCCATTTACTGG